AGCCCCTCCACCCCCACCACCCCCTCCACCCAGACCACCCCCACCACCCCAACCACCCCCTCCACCCCCTCCACCCCCATCACCCCGACCAACCCCTCTACCCCCACCACCCCCACCACCCCCACCACCCCCTCTACCCCCACCACCCCCTCCACCCAGACCACCCCCACCACCCCCACCACCCCCACCACCCCCTCTACCCCCACCACCCCCTCCACCCAGACCACCCCCACCACCCCCACCACCCCAACCACCCCCTCCACCCCCTCCACCCCCATCACCCCGACCAACCCCTCGACCCCCACCACCCCCACCACCCCCTCCATCCCACCACCCCCTCCACCCCCACCAACCCACATTACCCCCACCACCACACCACCCCCACCACCCCTCCACCCCCACCACCCCTATCACCCACTCCACTCCCTCCACCCAGACCACCCCCTCCACCCCCTCCACCCCGTCCACCCCTACCACCCCCACCACCCCCATCACCCCCACCACCCCAACACCCCCACCACCCCCACCACCCTCACCACCCCCACCACCCCCACCAACCCCATCACCCCCACCACCCCAACACCCCCACCACCCCCACCACCCTACCACCCCCACCACCCCCACCACCCCCACCACCCCCACCACCCCACCACCCCCACCACCCCCACCACCCTCACCACCCCCACCACCCCCACCACCCCTACCACCCCCACCACCCCCACCACCCCCACCACCCCCACCACCCAACATGTATAATGACTGCCTGTGAAGTCTCGCCGCTGTGCTGGACCACGTGCCCGTGTCGAGGAATGATATTCGGGACGCGGCGATGACCTCTTCCAAATATCATCCCCGCGGCAACCTGCGATGAGCACGGTTCGGCTACGTATGGTGCGAAAGAAGTTCGACACGCGGCCCCCCCCCCGCCACCTTCATTCACCAACCGGCACCGACCAGCGTGGTGAAGTATAGGGGGGGGGGGCCTTCATCCAGCAGTGGATCAATAGCGATCGATAAAGTATCGACAACATTTTAGGGGCCATCGAGCGATCTCGCGTCGCGAGTGACGATGAGCTCCGGATGGCGGAGACGGAGAAGATGCGGGAGGGGGGGGGGGAGGGTCCATAGTGACGTCATCCACAGTGACCTCATCCATAGTGACGTCATCCACAGTGACGTCGTCCACAGTGACGTCATCCACAGTGACCTCATCCAGAGTGACGTCATCCACAGTGACCTCGTCCACAGTGACGTCATCCACAGTGACGTCATCCACAGTGACATCATCCACAGTGACGTCATCCACAGTGACGTCATCCACAGTGACGTCGTCCACAGTGACGTCATCCACAGTGACATCATCCACAGTGACGTCATCCACAGTGACGTCATCCACAGTGACGTCATCCACAGTGACGTCATCCACAGTGACCTCATCCACAGTGACATCATCCACAGTGACCTCATCCACAGTGACGTCATCCACAGTGACGTCATCCACAGTGACGTCATCCACAGTGACCTCACCCACAGTGACCTCGTCCACAGTGACGTCATCCACAGTGACATCATCCACAGTGACGTCATCCACAGTGACATCATCCACAGTGACCTCGTCCACAGTGACATCATCCACGGTGACGTCATCCACAGTGACGTCATCCACAGTGACGTCATCCACAGTGACGTCATCCACAGTGACCTCATCCACAGTGACCTCGTCCACAGTGACCTCGTCCACAGTGACGTCATCCACAGTGACGTCACCCACAGTGACGTCACCCACAGTGACCTCATCCACAGTGACATCATCCACAGTGACCTCATCCACAGTGACATCATCCACAGTGACATCATCCACAGTGACCTCATCCACAGTGACATCATCCACAGTGACGTCACCCACAGTGACCTCATCCACAGTGACGTCACCCACAGTGACCTCATCCACAGTGACCTCATCCACAGTGACGTCACCCACAGTGACGTCATCCACAGTGACGTCATCCATAGTGACGTCACCCACAGTGACGTCATCCACAGTGACGTCATCCACAGTGACATCATCCACAGTGACGTCATCCACAGTGACGTCATCCACAGTGACGTCATCCACAGTGACGTCATCCATAGTGACGTCACCCACAGTGACGTCATCCACAGTGACGTCATCCACAGTGACCTCATCCACAGTGACATCATCCACAGTGACCTCATCCACAGTGACCTCATCCACAGTGACGTCACCCACAGTGACGTCATCCACAGTGACGTCATCCATAGTGACGTCACCCACAGTGACGTCATCCACAGTGACGTCATCCACAGTGACATCATCCACAGTGACGTCATCCACAGTGACGTCATCCACAGTGACGTCATCCACAGTGACGTCATCCATAGTGACGTCACCCACAGTGACGTCATCCACAGTGACGTCATCCACAGTGACATCATCCACAGTGACGTCATCCACAGTGACGTCATCCACAGTGACGTCATCCACAGTGACCTCATCCACAGTGACGTCATCCACAGTGACGTCATCCAGAGTGACGTCATCCACAGTGACATCATCCACAGTGACGTCATCCACAGTGACGTCATCCACAGTGACCTCATCCACAGTGACATCATCCACAGTGACGTCATCCACAGTGACGTCATCCACAGTGACCTCATCCACAGTGACGTCATCCACAGTGACGTCATCCACAGTGACGTCATCCACAGTGACCTCATCCACAGTGACCTCATCCACAGTGACGTCATCCACAGTGACGTCATCCATAGTGACGTCATCCACAGTGACGTCATCCACAGTGACCTCGTCCACAGTGACGTCATCCACAGTGACGTCATCCACAGTGACCTCGTCCACAGTGACGTCATCCACAGTGACCTCGTCCACAGTGACGTCATCCACAGTGACCTCGTCCACAGTGACGTCATCCACAGTGACGTCATCCACAGTGACGTCATCCACTGTGACCTCGTCCACAGTGACGTCATCCACAGTGACGACGATGACGACGATGATGACGACGATGAAGACGATGATGACGGTGACGACGACGATGATGACGACGACGGTGATGACGACGACGACGATGACGACAATGGTGATGACGACGATGACGACGACGATGACGACGGTGATGACGACGACGACGATGACGACAATGGTGACGACGATGATGATGACGATGATGACGACGACAATGACGACGACGACGATGACGACGACAATGACGACGACGATGACGACGATGACGACGATGACGACGACAATGACCGATGACGACGACGACGATGACGATGACGACGACAATGACGACGACGATGACGACGATGACGACGATGACGACGACGATGATGACGATGATGATGACGACGATGATGACGACGGTGATGACGACGGTGATGACGACGATGATGACGACGACGATGACGACGATGATGATGACGACGATGATGACGACGGTGATGACGATGATGATGACGACGATGATGACGATGGTGATGACGATGGTGATGACGACGATGATGACGACGGTGATGACGACGGTGATGACGACGATGATGACGACGACGATGACGACAGTGATGACAACGATGACGACGACGATGACGACGGTGATGACAATGACGATGATGACGATGATGACGACAATGACGACGACGATGACGACGATGACGACGACGATGATGACGATGACGATGATGATGACGACGACGATGACGACGATGACGATGATGATGACGACGACGATGATGACGATGACGATGATGATGACGACGACGATGACGACGATGACGACGACGATGACGACGATGACGACGATGATGACGACGACGACGATGACGGTAATGATGTATGGATGGTGATGATGGGTTGATTTGATGGACAGTGAAGTTCATGAACGATAATCGTGGAACGGACGCACGGAGGTTTTAGTCGTCGCGATGGAGGGCACCGAACCCCGGCGGACCCGGTCGGAGTTTGATTCACGGCTCACATCAGTGGCGGCCGAGCGGTTATCCGAAGCGTTCTCGTCGCTTCGGATAACCGCCCTATCGTAGTAAAACAAAACGAGCAAGCGTGGTGAAGTATTTGTCAAAGACTTCCCGTGGTCTGAAAGGGAGATTGTGGCCGCGTAGCCATAGCGATGATATGAAATGATGTTGTTGTTGTTAGTCGTGATGAGTCGTGATGATGATGATGGCCAAATGATGTTGATAACTTCTTTAATGTAATATTAAATTATTACAATAATATTGATGATGCTGATAATTATAATGCAGACGATGATGATGATGACGACGATTCAATTACCGCAACCGATGACGATGATTATGATCTCAGTGTCGATATGCAGCTGCTGCTGCGGATGATGATCGCAGTGTCGATTTCCTGATGGTGCTCGCTACTGCTGCTGCTGCTGATGATGATATCGACGTTTTCATCGATTAACGCTGATCACTTTCGCGTGATGTTCCACTGGTTCTGATCGTGATGCCGATGACGTCATCGCCGACACGTCTAATTCCCGCCGCTGATTGGCCGAGACGCCACGCATCGTTCGCGCGCTTTGTACCGGTGCCTATGACGTCACAGGGAGTACACCGAACCCCCCAAATCCTCCCCCTCCCCCATCCCTCCCATGATACCCCAGCCCCTCCCCTGCTGCCCCACGTTATACCTCTCAGCACCACCCACCCACCCATCCCTCACAGCCCGTCCCTCTCCTCCACTCTCCCCTCCACCCTCTCCCATATCCCTCACACCCCCCCCACCACTCCCCCACCACTCCCCTCTCTCCCTCCAGTTACCCCCCCCCCGCACTCCTTTCTCACCCAGCCCCTGCCCCCCGGCTCCTCTCTCCTACCCCTCCCCCCACTTCTACACCCTCCCCCCCCACTCCTCCCGCCCCCCCCCACCACCGCCACTTCCCAGGTCGCGAGCGCGTTCAGAGCGCTCCATTCAGTGGAACCGGCGGCGAGCGCTCGCGCGCACGCAGCAACGCAGAGATACATACACAGAGATACACACACAGAGATACATACACACAGAGATACATACACAGAGATACATACACACAGAGATGCATACATAGAGATACATACACACAGAGATACACACACAGAGATACATACACACAGAGATACATACACAGAGATACATACACAGAGATACATACACAGAGAGATACATACACAGAGATACATACACAGAGATATATATACAGAGATACATACACAGAGATACATACACAGACATACACACACAGAGATACATACACAGAGATACACACACAGAGATACACACACAGAGATACATACACATAGATACACACACAGAGATACACACACACATCGAGATGCACACATAGAGATACACACACAGATACATACGCACACATCGAGATACATACACACATCGAGATACATACACACATAGAGATACACACACAGAGATACATACACATACATCGAGATACACACACAGAGATACACACACAGAGATACATACACAGAGATACATACACACAGAGATACATACACAGAGATACATACACACAGAGATGCATACATAGAGATACATACACACAGAGATACACACACAGAGATACATACACAGAGATACATACACAGAGATACATACACAGAGATACATACACAGAGAGATACATACACAGAGATACATACACAGAGATATATACACAGAGATACATACACAGAGATACATACACAGAAATACACACACAGAGATACATACACAGAGATACACACACAGAGATACACACACAGAGATACATACACATAGATACACACACAGAGATACACACACACATCGAGATGCACACAGAGATACACACACAGATACATACGCACACATCGAGATACATACACACATCGAGATACATACACACATAGAGATACACACACAGAGATACATACACATACATCGAGATACACACACAGAGATACACACACAGAGATACATACACAGAGATACATACACAGAGATACATACACAGAGATACATACACAGAGATACACACACAGAGATACATACACAGAGATACACACAGAGATACATACACAGAGATACATACACAGAGATGCATACACAGAGATACACACACAGAGATACATACACAGAGATACATACACAGAGATACACACACAGAGATACATACACAGAGATACATACACAAAGATACTCACACACATCGAGATACACACACACATAGAGATACACATAGAGATACACACACAAAGATACACACATCGAGATACATACATAGAGATACACACACAGATACATGCGCACACAGAGATACACACACACATCGAGATACACACATAGAGATACACACACAGATACGCACACAGATACACACACACATCGAGATACACACACATAGAGATACATACGCAGAGATACGTACATACAGTGAGATACAGACACTGATGTACACCCACAGGGATACATACACAGCGATTCATACCGTGAGATGCATATACGGAGATACGTACACAGAGGTACATACACCGAGGTGCAGAGAGATACATACACAGATATAATCTCACTGAGATACACAATTAGATACATACACATTGACACATAATCACGGACACACAGCGACACATATACGTACACAAAGACATACAGATACATGTAAACACAGATACACACAGAGATACATACACGGATATACACAGATACATACACAAATATGCATACACAGATTCATAGCTACATACACACGCTGCCACACACAGATACACAGAGACACGCACTGATACATACACACACACACACAGAGATACACACACACACATAGACACATACAGTGACACATACACACAGCCACACACACACATACAGTGACACATACACACAGCCACACACACACACACACATAGACACATACAGTGACACATACACACAGCCACACACAGATACACAGAGACACGCAGAGCTGCACACATATAAAGATGTACACATGTACACACACTGAGATACACACACACACAGCTAGAGAGCTACCTACATAGACACATACACAAAGACACGCACTGACACACACACACACACATAGACACATACAGTGACACATACACACAGCCACACACACACACACATAGACACATACAGTGACACATACACACAGGCACACACAGATACACACATAGACACATACAGTGACACATACACACAGCCACACACAGATACACAGATACACGCAAAGCTGCATACACTTAGAGACGCATATAAAGATGTACACATGTACACACTGAGATACACACACACACAGCTAGAGAGCTACCTACATAGACACATACACAAAGACACGCACTGACACACACACACACACACCGACATACACCAGCATATACAGGATAGTACTTACACAGGCACGCATCATATGCATCGAGACACATGCACAATACACCCATGCATGCGCACGTCATATACACGTAGAGTCAAGTGTACGTGCAACCGCATAGAACAGATCACGCGTACACGCACGCACAGTACATGCACATAACAGCACACGGCATGTGTGCTCAGGGGCGCAGCGTGCAAGCGCGCTACAGACCGCACGGGCACACCGCGTGCGTAATGCACACGCGGTGTTTCGCGTGTAGCGTGCGGTACGCGCACAGACACGCGTTGGAATCGGCGCATCTAGTTAACATTGACACTCAAGTCAGTAGGTGAGCATTGCATGGGCTCTGGATTAAACACGAACGGTGGGTTTGTGGGTAATCACACACAGACCGTACACACACAAACACACCGTAGGTGAATACATGCAACAGATATTAGCAATTGAATTACCTGTACGCGTACGCTGCGTGCGCTTGCGTGTGCTGCGTGTGCGTGTGTGTGCGCGCATGCTACGGAGTGGAAACGCAGAGTTGACTGGAACAAAGGAGGCGTAGATGGTAACGGATCATCATCATCATCATCAAAGGCACACACACAGACACAGACGCGTCTATTAATGTAGACACCAAGAGAGAGAGAGAGACACACACGGAGTGAAGACAAACGCGTAATATTCGCAGCAGCACGCGTTAACGTAAACAATGCGATTGACAAATATTGACACGCACGCGCGCTACAGAAAGACACAGACGAGAAGGGAAATATTCGCGCACGTTACAGGGACGCTCCAGTAAGGTAGAGGGACACAGGCACGAGTAGGAACACTCGCAAAGACAAATGGGGCATGCATCATTCAGACAATAGCAGATACAAAGGGGTGGGGGAGAGGGGGGGAGACAGAGCGAGAGATTGGTCAGATACGCGCAGGACGAAGGGACAATAATACTTCAGCCAACAGACGCATCAGCAGACACACACACACAGACACACACACACAGATACACAGACACACGGGACACATAGGTAGACTTGAAGACATTACCAGACACACACACACGTGGACACACATACACAGACACACGTGGACACACACGGACGTGGACACAAAAGCGCACACGTGGACAGACACACACGTGGACACACACACACGTGGACAGACACGCGCACGTGGATACCCACACGCGCACGTTGACACACGCGCACAAACACACACGTGGACACAAACACACGCGCGCACGTGGACACACACACACGTGGACACACACACACGTGGACACACACGTGGACACACACACACACGTGAACACACACACACGTGTACACACACACACACGTGAACACACACACACACACGTGTACACACACACACGTGTACACACACACACACGTGTACACACACACACGTGTACACACACACACACACGCGTGTACACACACACGCACACACACGTGAACACACACACACACGCGTGTACACACACACGCACACAACATGCGCGCACACTGCCTGCGGCCCGACACGAGACGAGGCATTCCCGTGGCGTCCCCCTCCAAGTGACGGCTCCAAGTCGCCTCCACGCTGGCGGGCGCGCACGCCACCACGCAGAGGGCCGCTCTGCTCGTCTCGGAGCGTGAGTCGGGGATGTCCGCCAGGGTCGTGGGCGAATGGCTCAGGACTTTGAGCCTGGACGCCTACACGGACGCCTTCCTCGAGAACGGCTACGACGATCTCGAGATCTGTCGGCAGGTGGGCGAGGCGGACCTGGACGCGATCGGAGTGTCCGAACCGGCGCATCGCTCCAAGATCATCGCCGCCGTGTCTCGCCTGGCCGAGAGGACAGCGGGAGCGGCGCTCTACTTCGATCTGGAGGAGGAATTGAAGCCGGAGAGGGCGGCTCTCCTAACTCTCCACCACCACCAGCATCAGCAGCATCATCAGCAGCTTCTACACCACCACCACAGCCATAACAACCACTACCACCACCACCACCACCTTCAAAATCATCACCAGCAGCTGCACTATGTGCACCACCACCACCACCAGCAGCATCAGCAGCATCAGCAGCAGCAGCAGCATCAGCATCTCAATGTCCACTCAAGCCAGGGCGCGAGATCATCTTACTCGAAGCTGCGTCTCAAGGTGCTGCTGAGAGAGAAGCTCCTACGGGACGGCATCACACTCGGAGCGCCGCCCTACTCCAGCGCGGTACGTGCGGTGCGTGTGGTAGGGTACGTGCGGTGCGTGTGGTGCGTGCGGTGCGTGTGGTACGTGCGGTGCGTGGGGTACGTGCGGTGCGTGTGGTAGGGTACGTGCGGTGTGTGTGGTACGTGCGGTGCGTGTGGTACGTGCGGTGCGTGTGGTAGGGTACGTGCGGTGTGTGTGGTACGTGCGGTGCGTGTGGTACGTGCGGTGCGTGTGGTACGTGCGGTGTGTGCGTGCGGTGTGTGTGGTACGTGCGGTGTGTGCGGTACGTGCAGTGCGTAGGGTACGTGTGGTGTGTGCGTGCGGTGTGTATGGTACGTGCTGTGTGTTTGCTACGTGCGGTGCGGTGCGTGGGGTACACGCGCGGATACGTGTGGGGGGCACGTGCGGTGCGCGGTGATGGTCACGCGCTCCGAGTTTCTCGGGGCAGAGAGTTTGGGGGGGCAGGAGGGGGGGGGGGGGCCCAGGGCTACTGCGCGGTGAAGTCTCGGCTCCCCCCCCTACCCCACGAATCCGCCTCGAGATCGCGGTGCGGTGGCCGCAAGCGTCTCTCGCCGCCACCACCACTCCATGGTGCTGTGGCCAAGCGCAGTTTGTTTTCGTGTCGCTGCGATGTGGAATTGCTGCCCACCCAACCTCCATCTCCCCCCTCCTCCTCCTCTCCTCTCTCTCTCCCCGGCACCGCTCGAAATATCATCCTGCACGGTACCCACGCAGTAGACTGGCGCACATCCTGAAAGGAAGCGGGTTTGACCCCCGCAAGATGGTCACGAGATTGAGGATCGTTGTTGTTGTTGTTTTTAAAAAAACGTGCTTTGAAGGAAGGGCCATTGCCCGAACCGTCGTCTTATGATAGATGTGTGACCTTTAAGGCTCCAGTGACGGATGTCTAGAGGGTTTGTTGTGTTATACTGTGTGTGTGTTATACTGTGTGTGTGTTATACTGTGTGTGTGTTATACTATGTGTGTGTTATACTGTGTGTGTGTGTGTTATACTGTGTGTGTGTGTGTTATACTGTGTGTGTGTTATACTGTGTGTGTGTTATACTGTGTGTGTGTTATACTGTGTGTGTGTTATACTGTGTGTGTGTTATACTGTGTGTGTGTTATACTGTGTGTTTGTTATACTGTGTGTGTGTCTGTGTGTGTGTGGTGTTATACTGTGTGTGTTATAATGTGTGTGTTATACTGTGTGTGTTATACTGTGTGTGTTATACTGTGTGTGTGTTGTGTTATACTGTGTGTGTGTTATACTGTGTGTGTGTTATACTGTGTGTGTGTCTGTGTGTGTGTTATACTGTGTGTGTGTTATACTGTGTGTGTGTTATACTGTGTGTGTTATACTGTGTGTGTGTTATACTGTGTGTGTGTTATACTGTGTGTGTGTTATACTGTGTGTATGTGTGTGTCTGTGACGTTGCGAGACTGTGTGAGTGGTGGCGCAGTGGTTAGTGCACTGGACTGGCGAACCCGATTTTTCCAGAGTTCCATTCTCCCGGTCACGGCCACAAACAGTGGCGAATATGTGAACCGGTCCTGAGTTGTCGCTTAGGTCGACTCAGACTTAAATGAGTACCTGGTGCAGTGTGTAAAAACAACATCACCACTGGGAAAACAAAGGCGGACGGGCGTGGTTCTGGGCACCTACTCCCGTATGTGTCGTGTTTGCTAACAACACTTGTCCCATATTCTTAGGTTTTTTGGTAAAGTCACGTAGGTAAAAGTAAAATAATTTTAATTTTTTACCTACGTGACTTTACCGAAAAAAAAACCTAAGAATATGAATTCTTGCAGTCACGAAAGCTTCAAATCTACAACACTTGCCCCTACAGTCTGTAAAATTCTCCGTGGGAAATCTTTGTCTTTGTGCTAGCCTGTGAGTTTGCTAGGCTGTGTGTGAATGTGCGAGGCTGTGAGTGAGTGTGCTAGACTGTGTGTGAGTGTGGTAGGATGTGAGTGAATGTGCTAGACTGTGTGTGAGTGTGCTAGGCTGTGTGTGAGCGTGCTAGGCTGTGTGTGAGTGTGGTAGGATGTGAGTGAGTGTGCTAGACTGTGTGTGAGTGTGCTAGGCTGTGTGTGAGCGTGCTAGGCTGTGTGTGAGTGTGGTAGGCTGTGTGTGAGTGTGCTAGGCTGTGTGTGAGTGTGCTAGGCTGTGTGTGAGTTTGCTAGGCTGTGTGTGAGTGTGGTAGGCTGTGAGTGAGTGTGCTAGACTGTGTGTGAGTGTGCTAGGCTGTGTGTGAGTTTGCTAGGCTGTGTGTGAGTGTGCTAGACTGTGTGTGAGTGTGGTAGGATGTGAGTGAGTGTGCTAGGCTGTGTGTGAGCGTGCTAGGCTGTGAGTGAGTGTGCTAGGCTGTGTGTGAGTGTGGTAGGCTGTGAGTGAGTGTGCTAGACTGTGAGTGAGTTTGCTAGGCTATGTGTGAGTGTGGTAGGCTGTGAGTGAGTTTGCTAGGCTGTGTGTGAGTGTGGTAGGCTGTGTGTGAGTTTGCTAGGCTGTGTGTGAGTGTGGTAGGCTGTGAGTGAGTGTGCTAGACTGTGTGTGAGTGTGCTAGGCTGTGTGTGAGTTTGCTAGGCTGTGTGTGAGCGTGGTAGGCTGTGAGTGAGTGTGCTAGACTGTGTGTGAGTGTGGTAGGCTGTGTGTGAACGTGCGAGGCTGTGAGTGAGTGTGCTAGACTGTGTGTGAGTGTGGTAGGATGTGAGTGAGTGTGCTAGACTGTGTGTGAGTGTGCTAGGCTGTGTGTGAGCGTGCTAGGCTGTGTGTGAGTGTGGTAGGCTGTGTGTGAGTGTGCTAGGCTGTGTGTGAGTGTGCTAGGCTGTGTGTGAGTTTGATAGGCTGTGTGTGAGCGTGCTAGGCTGTGAGTGAGTGTGCTAGACTGTGTGTGAGTGTGGTAGGCTGTGAGTGAGTGTGCTAGGCTGTGTGTGAGTGTGGTAGGCTGTGTGTGAGTGTGCTAGACTGTGTGTGAGTGTGGTAGGCTGTGAGTGAGTGTGCTAGGCTGTGTGTGAGTTTGCTAGGCTGTGAGTGATTGTGCTAGGCTGTGTGTGAGTGTGGTAGGCTGTGAGTGAGTGTGCTAGACTGTGAGTGAGTTTGCTAGGCTGTGTGTGAGTGTGGTAGGCTGTGAGTGAGTTTGCTAGGCTGTGTGTGAGTGTGGTAGGCTGTGTGTGAGTTTGCTAGGCTGTGTGTGAGTGTGGTAGGCTGTGAGTGAGTGTGCTAGACTGTGTGTGAGTGTGCTAGGCTGTGTGTGAGTTTGCTAGGCTGTGTGTGAGCGTGGTAGGCTGTGAGTGAGTGTGCTAGACTGTGTGTGAGTGTGGTAGGATGTGAGTGAGTGTGCTAGACTGTGTGTGAGTGTGCTAGGCTGTGTGTGAGCGTGCTAGGCTGTGTGTGAGTGTGGTAGGCTGTGTGTGAGTGTGCTAGGCTGTGTGTGAGTGTGCTAGGCTGTGTGTGAGTTTGCTAGGCTGTGTGTGAGCGTGCTAGGCTGTGAGTGAGTGTGCTAGACTGTGTGTGAGTGTGGTAGGCTGTGAGTGAGTGTGCTAGGCTGTGTGTGAGTGTGGTAGGCTGTGTGTGAGTGTGCTAGACTGTGTGTGAGTGTGGTAGGCTGTGAGTGAGTGTGCTAGGCTGTGTGTGAGTTTGCTAGGCTGTGAGTGATTGTGCTAGGCTGTGTGTGAGTGTGGTAGGCTGTGAGTGAGTGTGCTAGACTGTGAGTGAGTTTGCTAGGCTGTGTGTGAGTGTGGTAGGCTGTGAGTGAGTTTGCTAGGCTGTGTGTGAGTGTGGTAGGCTGTGTGTGAGTTTGCTAGGCTGTGTGTGAGTGTGGTAGGCTGTGAGTGAGTGTGCTAGACTGTGTGTGAGTGTGCTAGGCTGTGTGTGAGTTTGCTAGGCTGTGTGTGAGCGTGGTAGGCTGTGAGTGAGTGTGCTAGACTGTGTGTGAGTGTGGTAGGCTGTGTGTGAACGTGCGAGGCTGTGAGTGAGTGTGCTAGATTGTGTGTGAGTGTGGTAGGATGTGAGTGAGTGTGCTAGACTGTGTGTGAGTGTGCTAGGCTGTGTGTGAGCGTGCTAGGCTGTGTGTGAGTGTGGTAGGCTGTGTGTGAGTGTGGTAGGCTGTGAGTGAGTGTGCTAGGCTGTGTGTGAGTTTGCTAGGCTGTGTGTGAGCGTGCTAGGCTGTGAGTGAGTGTGCTAAGCTGTGTGTGAGTGTGGTAGGCTGTGAGTGAGTGTGCTAGACTGTGAGTGAGTTTGCTAGGCTATGTGTGAGTGTGGTAGGCTGTGAGTGAGTTTGCTAGGCTGTGTGTGAGTGTGGTAGGCTGTGTGTGAGCGTGGTAGGCTGTGAGTGAGTGTGCTAGACTGTGTGTGAGTGTGGTAGGCTGTGTGTGAGTGTGATAGGCTGTGTGTGAGCGTGCTGTGGGTTAGATTTTCAGCTATAGCAATACAGTGACAGTTAGATTTATGTATTCATCTTTAAAAGGCAGTGTTTTTTTTTGCCGAATGCGTCTAGATTTTCGAGGTCAGTGTTTGGGCCGTTGTAGGTTTGTGTCATCATCCGGAGCAGCCGGTGGTGGAAATTCGACATTCATACGTCGGAGCCGAGTCCATCAACAGGAACAACCGTCGTTGACTTCCCCACAAAATTGTACACTACGTATTGTATCGACCCCCCCCAGAGGGAGCGATGATGGGCTGCATGAAGTGTCAATGCATCCTAACATCTGTGGCTCGCGCACTGCACTACGGACCCGGCGACCCGAGTTCGATTCCTTTCCCACGACCGGCAACAGCGGTGACGAATATCTGAGCCGGGTTCATGGCCCTCTCTTAGGTCGACTCAGCCTTGAATGAGTACCTGGCGCGCTCCGTAACACACAACGCACCGGGAAGACAAAGGCGGCCGAGCGCGGATGCTGACCACCCACCCACCCGGGTTACCGCCTCGTGTGCCGTGCCGGCTTTTCATGTCGTCGCTCGCGCACAGCACTTGCCCCATCGGCCTGCGCAGACTACACGGGTGGGGGAGGGAGCT